TTACGATTGCATGGTACAATGGATAAGATTACAATTGATAACGACAGTGATGATGGTGATCGATGCTGATGGTAAACGATTAAGCCAATGATAACATGTAATAATAATAATGATAATATAGTAATAATATAATAACAATAATAACAATAATATAATGATAATGATGATATGATGTTAGTTGGTAGTAAAGAAGATGTATTCATAGTTCTCTTCTATCGCATGTGCAGACTTCAATGCATAAGTAACTTGCATTTATTCGGCGTTTGACACGCCTTAGCAATCAGAACTTAGGCCTGTTTACAGGAGATAGGGTATCCCTGGGTAAAGTAGAGCCAAACTATTTTGATTTAAATCTTCCAAGAAAACAAGAGAGTTTGGCTCTACTAATTTGGGACACACTAAGATAAACAGGGCGTGAGATCTTCGATGATCAACAGTAGTTCAATCAAGTACAGCTAATTCCACAATGGGTGACTCCCATTCAAATAAATCACTGCACTATGGCTTTTCTATTCAAAACATAACAATTAGCTGACAATATGTTTAGATCTACAAAGAAGCTAGATGGATCTGGATGGATAACCCCACATACAATGCCATTCTCAACCTAACATTATGCTGTTCTCATAAGCTGTTGAGCCAGAATGAACAATATTAAAATATACCATATCATGCACACATATAGTACTTTAGCATTGATTACGACTTCAAACAAAATGGCCGTCGCCTTAAGCGATTTTTAAGCGCATTTTTTTTGTTCATTCTATTTTCAAATCATAGTTGTTTGAATATAAATGAATTGTATATTATTAGTTAATGGAATTAAGGGCTTATTGACAATGCGTGGATCGTACGTACTGACAAAACAGTTCATTTGCTTTTTATATTTTAAATCATTGAACGTAATGAGAACAATTTGCCTTCACGCAGAGATGTAGACGCACGTCGTTTGAATGATTACCGCACCACCCGCCAACCGTGAAACTTCAAAATAGAGTTTTGAATTTCAACCAACAGAGTCAGTTTTTTTCCTTTGTTCATGTCAATTAAATTACTATTTTCAACAAATCAATGAGGAACGTCTTAGAGCATAAACGCGGTTTTCTTGCGCTGAAAAAATGAACTTTCAAATCCAACCAATCAGCTTTCACCATTAAATAGTGCCAGTGAAGTGTCGACCAAAAATTATGTGATATATTTGTTCGAATGATACAAGTGCTTTCTTACCCTGGTTCCAGAGGTTTGATATTTTCTCTCTTCGCTGCGCTTCGCGCCGACAAAAACAATAGCGAAGAGAGAAAATATCAAACCTCTGGAACCAGGCTAGTRCTTTCAGTTACATTTCAAAAAATCAAAAAGTAAATACAAGCAAACTTTTAAACAATGAATAACAATAGCTGTTTAAACTCAAATGCCATTACAGTATAACAACACTTATGCTGAAAAAAATTATAATTGAAAACATGGTCTATGAAAACGCCGTACATCGTAAACTAATATTTCTGTTTCTTCAGAAACTCAATCTAGTTCTAGATCAGACAATAATCATCTGAGTACCGCAAAGTTTAATAAATAAAATAGAAATATCAGCAATGAGAAATCCTTTGTTAAAGTTCCTCCAAGATGGCAGCTGTGACGTAACCTGCAAACGAAGAATACAATATGATGAATAGCCCTATTTCATTATGACGTCACAGTATGTTTACATCGGAAAACGATGCTCAAAAACAGTGGAAATTTGGACCCATTTATATTGTCTATTAAAGTAGAACTTCAATGAATCGTGTTTTGATATATATCATGTATAAATGATTGTTCATGTACATTTTATTTGATATGCAGTCACTCTGATCCCTTCTGGCGACCATAATCCTTAGCGTTAAAACAATAGAATGTTTTGATGTGACGTAATAATGAACTAGGGCAATTCAACACATGAAAATACGAGAAAACATTGAACCTCCTACGCAGCTYAAAGGTTCCAAAGWTTATACCACTAACGGCTGYACAGGAGGCTACAATAAAAACTCAATTAAAGACTGATGGCAAATGCATAGTTGCTGCAAAAGTTTTSTTTATGYGGACGTGTACATCGATCTTTCTGGAACAAACCTAAAGCRGAGTCCCCTTTTGTAATTYGCCGGCTTTTACAAAATTAAATACTTAAGATGAGAATGAAATTAGTATTATGCTGACAAAAGCAATGGAAGAAATTCAAAGGTTTTTGTTTTGATGGTGAGAAGKCTTTCCGCGTCAGTGCAAATCACTATTGTGARTCATTGTGAAAATCACTTATGAATTTTTGTTAGACGGAATGTCAAAAACGCTGTTTGAAAGCACTTGAGTGCAAGTTTATTTTAGAAGTAAAAAATGCGAAGGTTTTACCATGTAAATTCTTTGTGTTGTCTCTATTATTGAATCCATATTTATCTTTAACATCTTGGTGGAAAATGATAGTTACAATGGTGGAAAGTGGTCGGATAAACAAAGTACATTAATACTCGTAATTAGCTCTAATCATGCTGTCCTATATGCACTCTATGCAAGAAATCCAACTTATTTYTATTGCTTTCCTTCAAGAGCTAATTTATGTTTCTCTTGAGTCATTTTTGATAGGCTTCATCGCGTTTATGCAAAACTATTTGAACAATGAGCAATTAATTAAAAAAAGGGGTCAAAATGCTGCAAATCTATTGGCGAAACTTGTTATGGTCCTGACTGCTTTGTTATTGGTTGAGGCATTTGGCTTTGTAAACCTTGAGGGAGTTTACCGCTTGCTTCTTCGACCGTGGCCCCCAATAATCTTGCTTAACATTTCATCGCTGGCATTCCTGGTTCATCTTTGGAATACAGAGGCTGCATAAGGCAACGCTCGTCCTAGGGGTGTCTTGGAATTTTTTTCATCATTTGATCTGAATCTTGTCTTTTAAATCCAACTTGCTGAGGTGTTTTCAAGGTAATTGGTGTTTGTTTTCTATATTTTCTTAGCGAAATTTCATGCTGTGTTGGATCGCTCTCCCGCAAGGGCGTGGAGAAATAGTATCCAAAATATTATATAAATTGAGTGTTATACTATTTTAGACACTGCTAGAATTCTTATACACAAAGCAGATAGTCTAAATTGACATCTAATTTTGAGATCTTTTATTTTTATTTGTGCTCKTGACAGCTGTTCCAAAAATGAAATCATATGATCGATCGATAAGTTATACGAATTTTATCCATTACACCAATATTACAATTATCACTTAATCTAAAGTCTTTTATAGTACTCTAATCTCACTAAATATGTATCATTAACTGTATATCTCAAAAAATCTATTTGTTTATGTAAATAACGCGGATGTGAAACTTCATATTTTCGACGTTAGAACTTACAAATAGTCAGTCTTTATGTAATACACATCGGAAGGCATCAAATAAGATTGATGTATATGACTTCGAACTTGACTGCGCAAAAGATTTATTGACTAAACGCCATTCGATATTACATGCGTCTAGTAAACATTATTTACAAATGCCATAAAATCAAATGAGCGTCTGTAATCAAAATCGATGACGAAATAATTCCAATGCAGTGTTATAATTCGTCTGACAAAAGACAATTCCGATTTTCTTCTCCGGACTATAACAATTTCGACTAGAGCATTTTTAAGTCAGCCCAATGCATATTAAGTTGTTTTTACTTCAAATATGCTTGCGTTGTTCGCTTTGATGGTTTTCAAAACCCTTCAGTAATGTTTATATAAAGTTTAAAAAGGTATTTTAAAACCGGACTCAGTTGGACATGGCCGGAAAATTCGTCAAAATTCGATTAGGTAAAAGATCTAAATGGCAGTTTAATCTAGTTGAGTGTAAACTATGAGTTCGGAGAATTATCATAGGAATGTTCTCTTCTTTCAGCCCTATTGACTTCAGATTAAATACTGGATCTTTCTTTRTGCTACATTATCATATCACAATTCCCACGGTTGCATGTTTTTGTTTAGGCCCAGCAATTGTAATTTTAGATCTACGGTTTCTCTTCTACTGCGAATCGTTAATGTTCTATTCTTATTWAGTAACTTTAGACTATGCTAAATAATTTTTATACACGTTTGAAAACTTTTGAGTCGTGTTTATAGTTTTTTTGCAGCAATAAAGATCAATGATAAATCTGATTGGCTAAGAAGTTATTTCACCGGGTAAATACTCCCTCTGACCGTCTTTCAGTAATGTAAAGTCCTTTTTCAACTTCAAAAGATGATTATTTACAAAAGGAACGAAGTTATGCGCGTGGATGGCCTTAGGGGGCAATTTAAAGTCAGAGAACAAAGCCATCACAGTCAACTAACCAACTACCGTCACCACAGCGCTTTACATATTCAATTTTTTCAATAAAGGCACTCGAAGAGATTCRKAGGGTCATGCATTTGTTTTGWTKGATCAYAAAACAATTCTAAATATAACTTTCGATTCTTTGATCAGACTCTAGTTRGCTTGATGCGTTGTACCGATTAAATCCAATTGAATATAGCGCAGGGAATACATTACGAAACCTTCTAATGAGAGTTAAGAAGGCGTGGCGAAGAAGTATGCAAAACACTATGCGAAGTTCATTCACTAAATGTTTCTCAATAGATCTTTTGGATAAAATAAATAGTATTAGCTTGGTATTAGGTATGTTTTTTTAAATCTTTCATGTTGAAAGGATCACCCGCGTTTAATTCGTTGTCTTTACTTTTTTAACGTAACTGAGCCGATGCATAAATTCCAAAACACGCACTTCAATAAAATCACTTTGGATATATTTAATTTTTACTTCAAATAATAAAACCTTTATTTACATTCGTTATGCATATAAATACGATGAAATATAGCTATAAATTGATGTATTCGTGTAGAATATCGCATGACCATGGCTGGTAGATCAGTAATGTGGCGTGACTCAACTACAATTTTAAAAACGAATTTATCGGAACAGCAATTCAGAGAATACCAAAATATTAGATAGACGAGTTTCTACAAACTTTAAGTTTTTGTAAGACTAAGTCAAAATAGAATTGCTCAATTCATTGTGATCAGTTGCATCCCCCGGGATAAATACTCGAAATACTTTACATAGTTGGATTAAGAGTCCATATTGCACAATAATAATAGCACTGACGAAATCGAGGACTGACTTCGTGCATAAAAATGGCACAGTTAGCATGTGATTATTTATAAATTCATGTTTTTTTTTCGGTTTGTTTTTCGAAAGAAATATCACTTAAAAGCAAAAAGGATGTATTTCTAGAAAAAAAAAGCAAAAAATATATATTTCCGCATTTTTCTTTAAGTCTATCACAAAAATGTTTTTTTTTTTTTTGATAACCATTTTGTTTCTTGATAAATCTCAATCATTAGGTTAACAYGCAATCATTGTTTAGCGTTCGTTAATATAAAAGTTTCCATCAAAATCTTTATTTTTATTGACAATTACAGGTAGAACACTTACAGCAGAAAATCGAAGAACTCTTAAAGCAAAAGAGAGGATTGGAAGACAAGCTTCGTGGTACCAAACGAGAAAGCAGGAAACACCAAGAGGCAAGCCTCTCCTCCAAACGAGAAATCGCCGAGAAGGGCTGGAGACTCGAGGCACAAATCAAAGAAATGTCGAATAAAGATAGCGTGATCGCGGATTTAAGGAAGGACAAATTGTCACTTGAAAGAAAAGTTGAAGACCTTCAGTAAGTAGAAATGTTGCATGGCAGTGTACAGGAATTATCCACGCAAGTCACAGTGCAGTGGTAGTTTAATAGTGCATGGCAGCCCAGCAAACCAACAACATTACACATTATAAGAGCAAAGAAAGGATACTGAGATATGAATGCGCGCTAGCTTACGCGACAACAGCAACGACGACAGCAACAACTGCAAGAACAAAGAAAACAATTAAACAAAACCACACAAATGACGTAGCTCAGTTTTACAACAGTAATGTTTCAGTATAGAACACTTCATATTTACCAAATATCCRCATTTTCCTTTTATCAGGAATGAGTTGAACTCTTACCAATTGAAGTTCGACGTCAGAACTCTTCAAGGCCATGGCGACGATGAGTACACCGTTACTCGTGATGAGATGCTCAAAGTCGAAGCCAGCTACAACAAGATGTCTGCTGAGAAAGAAGAGCTTCACAATGACTACATCGACTTGCAAGCTAAGCTTGAAGATCTAACTGCCGAGAATGAAAGGGCATTGAAAGAACTGGAGACGCAGAGAAAGACACATCAGTTAAAAAGTGCAAAGTATGAGGCTCAGGTAAAACTATAGTTTGTAGCTATTATTGTGTTTAGTAGTATTAAATTTAAACCCCTCTTTTTATGTTAGTTTAAGTTATAAGTTTCTTTAAAACTGAATCAAAAACGTCTTTTATTGGGGAGCAACGTTTCGCGCGTGCATGTTTATGCTGCTGACTCTTATCGGTCTGTGTTCATTTTGAAACTCAGATACTTTTCAGAGCAAAGCCTCGATATTATTCAATAGATAATTACTGAGGCACGCAGCATTCGTAGGTGTAATGCAGGCATCTGAGGGCGCATATCTAGTATAATTACTGATATTAACAAAATCCAAATGTTTTCTTTCTAGCTTACTTGTTTATCATAGGAGCAATGCCAATAATGAAAGTTTAAACGAACTTCGAACTAGAGTTTTTTTTTTAAGTCGTGAATTTATTTATCTSAACACAATAACTTCATAAATTGTCACAAAATAGCCTGAGTAGCGGCTAAAAATCAACAAAAACAACGAAAATTYATGCAAAATTGTGCCAAATTATAAATTCAAAACCATGTGAGCATGCGTTGCCTTTTCAGTATATGGAACATAATGTCCCACACGTATGGGAGCTAAMGTTTATCATGAGACTCGATACTAAATCCGATAATTTCTAAATAGGTGCTGGGTCTGTGTAAGGACTGATAAAAAGTTTTCTTAAAAAAAACTCTGTCATCCTTTAAGTCCGGCAAGCCATTCTGCAATATTATCAATATTGCTGTCTGTTTTGAAGCAGACAGCAATATTTTAAATATTGCAGCTGGACAACCTGTTTCTGTCTGCATTCGTTGGTCTAATGAAGAGAGAAAACAATGGGTTACGATCGATATCAGTAATTATATACACCTATATTGCATAAACGTTACCATAGAAAAATAGTGGGCGTTAGCACAAAAAAGAATAATTAATTATTATTAATTATTAATAATAATTTATTAATAATTAATTATTCCTTTGCACTAAGCACAAATGTTCTTTTATCTATAACAACGTATTTTCAATTAGTGTAGATGGTATTTGGATACAAGAAGAATGCTTAATGTGTATGGACTTACAAAATACTTGTACGAATCAATGACTCAAAAGCAAAATTCTTTTATTTTACCTCTATTCGCTATTCATGCCACGTGACCACTCCAGAATGTGATTGAAAATGCTCATTGTTAATTGTATAGGGGAGGTACAAATGTCCTTCAGAGGACACACAAATAGAGGGTGGAGGAGGAGGGTTGATGGGTGTGGCGTCGTGTGTAAGTGCACTTCACAAAATTGGTCATAAAAGAGGCAAAAAGGGGGTCGCATCAAAAGGTCTCAAGAGAGATTGCGCCCCATGCAGCCAACATCTGTAACCGCCCCTGTTGCAAAACAATGAACTTGTTTTCTTTTTAAAACAGATCGATAATTTGAGCAAGCAGAAGTCTGATCTGAAGGACAAGGTTGAAAAACTTCGTATAGAGCTAAAGAAACAAAAGGAAATGTACGGCAATGCTCAACGAGGAATGATTGAGGCTCAAAAGCTCGCTGATGCCAAGAAGGAGGAGGTGATATCCAAGAACGGACAAATTGGAAAGATGGAAAACCGAATCATCTCCCTGGAAGGCAAAGTTGATGGTCTGCGCCAGGAGCTGTCAAAAAGCCAAACTGCGCTGGAAATCGCTTTGAAGCAAAAGGAAAACATGCAACACGAGCTTGTTGCCTTACAGAAAAGCAACTCAGATCTTCAAGATGCTTTGGAGGATATGAAATCCAAAAAGGATGAACTGCAGAACGAGGTAATTATTAACGTTTATAGTACGCATAGTGGGTACGTAGAAATTTAAAATATGAAATTTGCGGATGGCAGATTAAAACTAGCATAATTAATATTGTACGTTGTCGAATAGTAATTAGAAGAACCTTTGATAGGATTGCTGCATTGTATGTAGTATACTTAAATACTAATGTCAAGCAATACGAATACGGAAGCTGCTTTTTATTCACAAAACAACAATAGCTGCAACGTCATATGGCTTAAGTTTAGGTTTATACGTTCGTTAATATGACGTCATATAGAAAGAGGACCATAAACCCTAACCAAAAGAGAAAAGATGGATTAACATCRCATCTGAAAAATCTTGTTAGTAATGTCATCTCTTTTTCCATACATTTCACAGGTCTTTGCTCTCCAACGTAAGCTTCGCAATGCTGAAGACTCCAACGAGAAGTCCAAGGAAAAGATCACCAGCTTGCTWCAGAATGAAAGGGCACTCAAGCAGAGGATCGCCGACCTTGAAGCTCAGCTTGCTGACTCAAAGAACCGCATTATCCAGCTTCAAAACGAACTMGAGCTTGCAAAGTCCAGACCGGTGGAAAAGTATGATCCCATCACCATCCAGACCGTTGAGACTGTACAAGCRGGAGTAGGCGATTTTGGTTTTGACTCAGAAGAAATTGATCAACTCAACCAGGACAAGATGGCACTTACACAGAGGGTAAATTAACATGTTTTTTGCACATACTTATACATATTTGTATGCTTCCGTTATTACCACCGATAGTATGAGAAAAAATGAATTCATTTGAACTCAGTACTGATGAATGAGGGTAAAAACATCATTTATTCGTTTTATTCGACCGTAGGTTGCTGAGCTTGAAAATCTGGTCCATCGTCTGGAGTATGATAATTCCGAACTTGAAAATAAGTACACCAACTCCAAGGGGCAAATAACCAAGTTGGAATGTCAAGTGGATAGTCTCAAGAGAATGAAGGGTGAACTTCAGACCGAGCTCGAGAATGAGAAGTTAAAATCTGCGAAACTGAAGAACGACCTCAATAACTTACAGTCAAAGTTGGCTGACTCTGAGAAGGCTCTTGACCAGAAAACGAAGGAGTGCATCAAGAAAGACAAAATCATTGAAGATCTTAGAAATAAGATTGCTGAATTGGAGAAGGTGAGCTTGCACTTGTAAACTTTGTCTGTTTTGTATTTAATCCTGTTTGATTGTTGTTTGTATGTACTCGCACTTTGACAATATTGGTTGCCTTCAAACTTACTGCTGTTATCAGTTATGTAGTAGTAGTCGATGAAATCGAGAAAGAATCACTTTCATTCAATTAAATCACAAATCTCTGTAGCACCGTTATGATATTTAAAATTTTAGGTCGTGGAAGATCAAAACAACGAGATTTTCAAGCTCGAAGGCAGAGTTGAAGCTCTTCAACTTGAAAACGACAAGCTACGTGATGATGCCCTTGAAGTGCAAAGAACCATTGGTGACTTGGAGAGTGACTACAGGAGCAGTGTCGACGAGAAGGACAGCGCTCATTACGAACTCAAAAACCACTCACGCAAGGTATGATTATTGTCTTAGCACTTCTTGACAGCTTGAAGAAATTGTGGTCAGTGTTTATGGAAACTATATTACTTTAGAAATTACATGCTAGGGTCTGATTCGAACGTCCGCGAGCCATTTTTGGTCGAACCAACTACTTTGATACATGCGTCGAGCCTTTAACGAGACAAAGTGAATGGGTTGTAATAACTCGTCAAGATTTCTATTTTATTCAGCACATAACTACAGCACATTAGCTGCTCKACAAAACATCAAACGTGGCGTTTGTCATATCTGCCAACCTTATTGACGTACTTAGTAATTTATTTACATGCATTTGAGCACCATACAATACCTTAGTATTCTGTTAGTAGAGTTTTGACCGTTTCTTATGTTTTTTTTTATACAATCAAGATGGACCTTGGTGCGATCCTTAACTTTATCATAACCGGCGGTAGTTTAACGGTTTCCTGATTGAGTTTGATTTTTTTTCTTAATTCAGGTTTCAGAGCTCGAATCCAAGCTTGCTGAATCCGAAAAGGCCCGTAATGAGTTGCAGGCTCAGGTTTTGGCGTTGCAACAGAAGTTGAATGTGCTTGAAGACGACTTAGATAAAACCCACAAAGAAAGAGCGGTTTACGAAAGTGAAGCGAATGATCTGTCCCTGAGCTCAAACAAACTTCGCGACGATGCAGCAAACTCAAGGAAACAAATCATGGAGTACCAAGGTATCATTGATGGTTTGAAAAAACAGATCGCTGAAAAAGATGAAGAAATTGATCACCTCAGGAACAGAGTTCGTAACCTGAATGAAGACATCGATGAAGCAAAGACTGATCTCGCTGAGTCCCAGGCCAAATGCGATTCTAAGGACGACGACATCAAACAACTGGAACGCAAAGGACGGGAGAAAGATGCAGAAATCGACAGACTAAACGCAATTCTCGACCGCACAACAAAAGAAAGAGACGACGCCGAAGTACAAATTGCTGGCCTTTATGAGAAGTTAAAGAACCTCGAAGGAACGCGAAAGGAATATAAGATAGAGCCAGTCTCCAAAAATATCGACATCAATATCTACAAAATGCAAGAACTTGAGAAAGAATTGTCTGCTCTGAGACAGAAAGTCTACAAACTCGAAAAGGACAATGATGACCTTAACAAGGACAATGCCATGCAGTCCAGTGAAATCAAAGATAAAGACAACAAGATAGATGCCCTGATGCGTGAGTTGGATGGTAAAGATGAGGACAGCTCAGACATCAGAAAGGAACTCCGCAATTTGAAAAAGAAATGCGACACGCTGGAAAAGACTGTTGACGATCTGACAGATGAAAGAAACGAGCTTCAGGAAAAGCTAGATGATCTAATTCCTAAAGTCGAAAAGCTTCAACAAAGTGTTGATTCACTTACAAGGCAAAGAGATGATCTCAAATACAGTCTCAGCGAAGCTAACAAAAAGATTGTTGAACTAAAAGAACACCACAACAAAGCTGAGCTGAGAGCTTCTCAGCAAGAGAAAGCCAACTCCAGCCTTGGTAAAATAGTGAAGAAGCACGAAGGGTCTGTAGAGGATCTATCTGCTCGACTTAGAGCTGCAGAAAACGACAACGAAATCTTACGTCGTGAGCTTGTTTCAAGCAACGCAAGGAACGATAATCTAAACCAAGAGAAGAAAGACATCGCTAAAAAGCTATCAGATGCTCGTAACAGGATTGCTGAACTTGAAAGTCTCGTGCATGAACTGAAGGATGCAAGAGAAGTGCTTGAACAGGAAATCAGTGCAATAACCTATAAACTGAGCAACCTTGAGACAAAAGTCAGAAACCTTGAGAAGGAGAGGGATTACTACAAAAACGAATGCGACAGTCTTCAAACAAAGAATAGAAAGATGAAGAGTGAATTGGTACAAGTGCAAAATCAGCTTAAAGATAAAGAACGCCTGTGTGATACTCTTGGTGCCGACTTGAAGGACAAAGAATCCAGTCTTAGTGCACTGAACCGACAGAAAAAGATACTTGAGGATGAAATCTGTTCTCTTCGCAAGCAACTTGAGGCCGTTAACCATGCAAATGACATCAATAAAGAGAAAATCCAAGAGCTTTTGGCCGCTTTAGAGCGTGCTCAGATGAATGCTGTTGCACCTGTCAGCGTAAGTGTCGTCGAATCAGCACCAACTGCGTTGTTCAGTGAACCACCACCAGAACCAAACGACAGGGTATTCGAGCTTGAGGCTCTACTCAAAGCAGCAGGGGACCGGGAGAATAATCTCAGGCAAGAAATCGAAGGATACATAAGTAAACTCAACAAAGTAGATGYCGAAAACAAGCACATGCATGAACAGCTTATTGAACTTCAACATGAGAATGCTGCACTGCAGAGAAAACTTCGTGACGCTGAACAAGCACTTAGCAGAGTCAATCGAGAGAAAGATGAGCTGAAGAAAGATCTCCTAGAGGCTACAAGCAAAGTCTCAACCCTCGAAACACAAGCAGAAGCGGACGAAGGTGAAATCAGATCTCTCAAGACACAGTTGTACAACATTAATGCTAGAATGAGCAAGAACCAGGACGAGTTACTTAACTTGGATCAGTCCCTTGTCGAGCATAAACTTGCAGTTGACAAACATRAAAAGGAGAAGAATCATCGTGATGCGCTCATAGAAAAACTCAAAGCTGCCAAGCAATACCTAGAGGACCAAGTGGAGTCCCTAAAAGCAAGTCTTGAGGCATCGCGAAACACAAATGACGACCTTAAGGAGGACCAAGCCAAGATGTTGGAGGAAATTCGATCTCTAAAGAACCAGATTAATCAACTAAAGGCTCAGAACCAAAGACTCTCAACAGACAGAGAAAAGGCCATAGAAGACGCAAAGGATGCCTTCGCTAAAGTCAAAGATCTCGAACGTCAGCTTCAAGAAGCAATTGCCCAAAAGAAAGAAGTAGAAGAAGAAAATGATAATCTGGAGACTGAAGTAAGGAGACTACGTGATGAACTTGCTGAAAGTAAAAGACGTTACACTCATTTAGAGGAAAAACTTCGTGTACTCGAGGATGAACTTGAAAGGAATAACAGGGACATTGACAATCTACGAGATGTCAAGAAGGATTTAGAGGCAGAGATTGCCGAACTAAAAGCTAGACTTGCTGAAATGGATAAGCTGCCTGCAATACAGCCATTACAAGTGCAGACTGTTCAAGAAGTACACTCGAGTCCAAGTGGCCTTTTCGGAGCAGATCCCGAAGAGATTAAACGGCTTCAAGAGGAAAATTACGACCTGAAAAAGAGAATAAAGGAGCTGGAGGCTGACAACAGAGTACTTGATGACAAGAAGAAAGACATCAATAACCAGCTGGTGGATACGCACGGCCACAAGTCCAAGCTTGAATCACAACTAGATCACACAAGAAACAGAAACCGTGCCTTGGAGAAAGAGCTGGAAGCCATTAAGCGCGACTACGAACCTTTACGAGTGAAATACGAAGAACTTGTGAGAGAACTAGAGCTGTTGAAAAAGGACTCAGATGATGCACATAATCGTCTTGGAGATGTGGAAGTGCAGTTGGACGCTGAAACGACAAAGCGAAAACAGCTGCAAAGAGATTTAGATGATGCTTTAGAAGATTTACAACAGAAGGAAGAAGAGCTCAATAAAGCCAAACGTAAGGTGCAAGAATATATGACGCTTCTTGAAAATGGAGGAGACGATTCAAATCTTAAAGATGAGCTCATTGACAGTCTTAAGAAAGAAATTGACAATCAAGAAAAGGAAATTCGAAAGCTTAGAGAAGAAGTCTTAGCAGCAAATAACGAGATCGACAAGAGCCATGCTAAAAGACACGATTTAGACAAGCAACTGTTTGTTGCTAAACAACACTTGTCAGATGATGAGACTACCATTCTAGCCAAAACCGCAGAAAACGACGCCCTGCGAGATCACCTAGAAGATGCTCAAGACAGAATAGCTGATCTCGAAAAACAACTGCAGCAGTMCAAGAGAAACAACTCGCAAATGCGATCAGACTTGGATAATTCAAAGATCAACCTTAGGAAAGCAAGAGAGGAGGCAAGCTTACTACAGAAAAGAGTAGCAGAGCTTCAATCACTGATTGATGCTTTGAAGAAAGATTTGATGGATAGAAATAGTCTGATTGAACAGCTCAGATCTGAAAGTGTTGCTGGTGACGAGGCAGCAGCCATGAAAAGGAAGTTGGCAAAGGCCCGTGATGATTACCAAAAGAGCCAGGATGAGGTTGCACGACTTCAGCTTCTTCTTAGAGAAAAGCCAGACAAGATCTCTCTAAGAGATGGCAATCTCGCCACATACAAAAGTGAAAACGATAGACTGAAAAGTGATATCAAGACGCTACAAGAAACTATCAATCAGTACAAGAGAAACTATCAAAATGCACAAAGAGAAATTGAAAGACTGCAGCTTGACCTTATGACAGCAAACCAGAAATTAAATCAAGCAGAAGCAAGAAATGATGCGATGGAAGCCGAAAGAGACAGACTGAAGAAAGATAATGTGATATTRCAGCAAGAAATCTCCAACCTAAAGATCCAGCTGGACTCCTTGAGACATGAAAACAACAAACTCAAAAATGATATGTCTGTACTGCAAAAGAAGTACGACATTCTTCAACAACAGCTCGCAAATTCAGACTCAAGGAAAGGCAAGAAGGGTAGCAATCTTGTGACACTGAAAAGGGTTGGTGAGCTGGAATCTTCTTTCCAAAATGCTCTCAGAGAGAAGGAAGACGCAAAGAGTGATGTGCTGATTTTGCGACAAAAGATTGCTAAACTCGAGAGCGATCTAAACGAGCACAAGCGCGACAAAGAGTCATTAGAGCACGGCCTTGAGATGCGAGACAACAGAATCAACGAATTAGAGAACAGCCTGAGAAGCGCACAAGAAAATCACAAGGCGGACAAGGAAGAATTACTACAATGGCGTAAGAAGTGTGCAGCCGCTGAGCAGGAGATCAATAATCTCAAGAATTCAATCAATCGGCTGCAAAATCAAAACAAAACAGCTGAACAGAGAATTGACGAGCTAAAGGAAGATCTTGATGAAGCTGAAAACAGGATCAAAATGTTGGAAGACGCATTGGCTGATCACGATGATGGATCGGATTCTAAATACAGWGATTATCTCATAGCTCAAAGTAAAATTGCCGAGTTGGAAGCAGCTCTTAAAGCTGCAACAGAAGGCAGATCTCAAGCGGAGAAAGAAGTTCAAAGGCTGAAGAATCAAGTCTGGCATTTGGAAGACGACCTTAAATTGGCYCAAGTCAAAATCGATCAGCTGCAAAAATTACTCGATGAAACCAATAAGCTCAATGACAAGCTCAAAAAAGAAATGAATGAACTAAAGAAGCATTCCTGGGACTCCGTYCAAAACTACGATGCTCTTGACAAAGAACTGAATGATCACAAGTACAAGATAGAACTCTCAGAGCAAGAGCGCCAGGATTTGGAAGATGAAATTGAGAAGCTTCGTCGTGACTTATCCGATGTGAAAACCCAGAAAGAAAAAGTTATAGTAGAAAAGAGTGACCTTAAAATGCAGCTTCACAAACTTCAGGCACAATACGAAACCCTTCGATCAGACAACGACGAATTGAGAGATGAGAATGAGAACCTCAGAAGGGAACTTCAACAGTGTAAAGATGAAATTGCAAGTTTGAAGAATGAACTAGAGAACCAACCTGCTCCTATTCAAGTTGCAACTGTGGAAAGTGTAGTCGAAAGCTCACCTTTTGACTTCGACGAACTCGATGGAGCAAAACGAGAAAGAGACCAGCTTCAAGTAGAGAAACAAGCTGCTGAGGATAGATTAAGGAACTTCCAGGATGATTTAGATCAAAAACAACGCGAAAAAGACAGAGCCGAAGAGAACGTGAAGGATTTGAAAATGCATCTTGCCAGATTAGAGATGGATAACAAAAACCTCGAAACAGCAAAGGACAAAGCTCTCTATGAACGTGATCTCGCAAACCAAAAGTTTGTCGAACAAAGGACTGATAACGAGTCCCTAAAGCAAGAAAATGAGTCATTGGGCCTTGAAAACAATGAACTCAAACAAGAGCTAGCTGATAAGGAGAGAGAACTGAGATCACTGAATAAGAAACGAGGGGATCTCGAGAAGCAGCTTTCRAAGAGCGACGAAAAAGACGGYGCCTTAGGCAATATGAGACAAAGATTCCAAGATCGTGAGAATCAGCTTCAAAAGGAAATTGTGGAACTCCAACGAAAACTTGCCGATGTAGATGGACTTGTCAAAGTCGCCGAGGACAAAGCACGTGATGCAGAATACGCCAGAGATGAATCAGACAACCGATATGCGTTGCTTCGWGAAGACATGATTAATCTGCAATCAAAGATATCAGACCTGGAGCTCCAACTCCAGAAAGAAAGGAATACAGTTGAGCGTCAGCAGGAGGAGATCAACGATTTATTAATGAAACTTGGAGACGTTTCTAATACTAATCGTGCTGGTGGTAAGGAATTATCTGGCCTGGAAGCAGAAAATGATGGCCTGAAAAAGAAGAACAAAAGACTTGAAGATCAAAATGCTTCCAAAGAAAGAGAAATTGCCCGACTCAACGAACAGATCGATGAGTACCGTGACAGGCTTGAGAAGGGAACTGGAGATCTGGAGATTCATTTGAAGAATATGGGTGACAAGGGCGAAATATATCGTAAGGATGCTCTGGAGAAGGCCAACTTTATTGAGAARCTTCGAGCTGAAAGGCTTCAAGATGAAATYGARATTGAAAATCTCAAAGCTGAAGTAAAGTCCATGAAAGGAGAGCTAAATGACAACGAAAAAGATCTCGATCAATATGAAGGTAATGTCACCAGACTCAACGAGGAAAAGATCAACTTAGAAAACAAGATCATCGAACTTACCAACAAATACAAGCTACAACTAGCAGAGCTTGAAAACGATAACGAGATCAGAAATGATAAAATCAGGAATCTTGAAGATATTTTGAAAAGATACGAGAAACAGATTCAAGAGCTTCGAGAGGCACAGGCTTCCCACGATCCCTCATCGTCAACAACACTGATATTTGACGTAGAYCAGAGCAGAAGTCGAAAGCCGTCTCGTTACGTCTCCTACACAGATAGCATGGTTGAACCAGAGAAAAGGAGCCTGTACAAAATTAGCTCCGCAGGCGTCGAAAGACCTGTCGATAACAGAAATGGTGACGTGGAAGAGCCCATCACAATGACCGTATCAAAAAACAGACAAGAATCTGCCCCAAGAACCAGAACTGGAAGAGCAAAAGTTGATGACAGCGTMGAGATTCCATTTGATGACAGCGAGTATAAGAGAAAACCAAGCGAAACTGGACGTTACTCAAGGCCAAAAGTGAGCGAGACGTATGCACCATCACGAGCCAAGGAAAGTCAGTCTTCAAGTTACAGTATTGATGATGACACACCTCTCACAAGTACCAGAGTCGGCGATGATGAAAGATACAGACGTGGGGATCGAAGGTCTACATCATCAAGAGATAGAAGCTCTCCTGAAGACAAAAATAAAGACTGTAAGCAGCAGTAGAATTTGAATGATTAGAACTAACTTCAATGAGGACACTCTATCAGTGACCATTTTATCATATTTTTTCTCACTTTTAGTTTTTTCTCATCTTTCTTACACAAACTATGAGTATTTTTATATTCTTTTTTCTTATTTTTTTTTCACTTTTTATATTGTTTAAAGTTTCTAAAGTTTCTTACTGCTTTAAGTCCCTTGAAATTTTAAGTACAGAGGTTCATTATAAAGGAATTGATAAAATATTTTTTTTTTGCAACCATTCTGTTCCCGAAATTTAATTTTAGAAATAATGGTGAAAGTGGTAAAGTGGTAACGGTTAGAGTGTCGTCGCTTAAGGGATTCATGTGAATTTTTAGCAATGCATTTGTGTCTACTTTCCATAGAACGTGACAATTTATTCAAACGAAGACGACGGAAATCTCACAATCGAGTCCATATACATGCTCATGCATTGAGGCAGGATAATTTTCAACTAATTTATTTCTGTCCACAACTGAAAGTATTTCATTTTAGAAAACCAAATGTCATGACGTTCAACACTAAGAGATACATTTGCTTTTATTCAGCAGGTCATTYATGTTTTTGTCTAAAAGCATATGGCCAACAATTTGATAAAAAATGATAAAAAGTAATTAAAAAAAAAAACAATTAAAAAATAGGTTTTCGAACTGATTTAGAAAATGAAAAGATGAACTGCATATCTTTGAACATAATGACTGGCTTTGATATGCTGAAAATAGATCATCTTCATTTCTTGTTAACGTTCCAGCTTTCAGGTCGTTGTCAATATGTTTTCTGATTCATATATTTACCCAGTTATTTAGTCTAAAATTAAGGAATTGTTTCGACAGCTCTTTTTTGTAGCTGGTCCGATCCTGCACAAAAACCTGAAAATATTATGSTAGTTTTTCGAATAAACTATGTAGGATCAATTGATAATCTGTCCATAAAGACACAGTACCTGATAAAAATATGAAATACATTGCAATCAAAAAACACGTTATTCTAAGCGAAGGAATTGCATAAACTTGCTCATACTCGGTTGATTTGAAATGCGCTGGTGCGCAGAAAGAGTGACATATAAGCCTCGTGGCCATGTTGATTGAGCGTCATAAGGAATTACATGCAGTCGAGGGATTGCGCTTGGGAWATGTCATACACAGCTTACGTTTAATTATCGATATACGAATATTTTAAATTGCGTTTCAATTTTATAATTTTGCACAAATTCATTTTTGGTAACCTTTAGTTTATCTGATGTAATATCAGCTCTTCTTGTGTCTTTTAATTCTTTCATTATATCAGTATTATATTAGTATACCATCATCAATTTAAGGAATAAGTCAATAAAGTGGCTTCTACAATTTATGGTTGTTTTGTGTTACGCTAAGTTACCGGTTAAMATAGTCCTCTTCTGCATTTACGGTTCTTCATAAAACGGATTTCGTTTGASTGTGCGTGACACGGATCACGGACAAGAWACGGTCACAGAAACTCACCTGATAGCRAMGCCAATGAAAAAGMGATTCAACAAAGACACATCACCGCCACGGTACGGTCACGGTACGGTCACGGTGCGAAAATGTCGTGATTTTTCGCACAGTCATACGAAATGCGCTCTAAATCGCTCTTCGGAGGTGATCATATAGCAATTACACTGGAAAAAAATCGCCCGCTTTAAAAGTTAATATGATGTARGTGTCCAAAATTCCAAAGGAGAATGCACGGCCGAGGGTTAGTATGGGTAATGGTTATAAAATCCAGCAACGGCAGTCATTACTTTCGTTTTAATCAATTCTCACTGAAAATGAAATTCCCTCGTACTAATACCCACGCTTTCGATAGTGCACTTGTCGTTTTCTCAGACAATGTTTGATTTACAAAAATAAATGAGTTTTTCAGTAATAAGGATGGAATTTTCTTTGTTTTTATTAAACGTGGATTTGCCTCTTGGTTGGATTTTTTAATTACTTTTAATTTAGTCACCATTTTGTTTTTCTCTTCTCACGTGATAAGATGAGATTACTTACCAAAGGTAACCTATGCGAGACTTTACTTATATCCTTTTGTTTTTAGTACTCAATAGTTGGCTGGGTTGAACATTTTTGTGGTTTAACATAGAAAAGATGTATTTGGGAATAGTGACTGCTATAGAGGAGAGAGAACATGGCGGCTAYACTCCTTGTGATTTCAGCTTAAAGACCTCAGTGTTCCCACGATATATCACGTGCTCTATATCACCGATAATCTTGAAATCTGTAAATYATATCCAAAATGTAAAAATGTATTTTCCTTCCGGAATTTTATTATGACCAAATGACAACAATGTTCGRTAGCCTCGATTCTCTTAATTTTCAAATCAGTGATAAGTTCAGGGTACAATTATTTTCATCTATTTGTTGTGCTYATCTCAGCGTCAGTCACTCCACTGGAACAGATAATGAATTATCATCACTTTTAGAAACTACATTTTAATTTTTGGTATTTAAAAATACTTAAACTCTGCAGTGTCTCTACCCTTTTCATTGTCAATGACAATGAGTGTCTGAAAGGACAAAGAACACTTGCCCTTAGCTAATTAAAACTCACAAGAAAACAATAAATATTTTACGAGTGAACAAAAAAAAATAGTCACTTTTGAAAAGAAATTTGGATGAAATATTAAATATTATCTCTCAATTGTTAAGAATTCAGTCAAATTTTGTACAAAGAACATAGACAAGATAGAAGCTAGATAAACAAAAGAAATTTGATCAAAGAAGACCGTCTTCTCGGCGGTTTAATACCCATGATCGGACAGCCAATACGACTAAAAAGATTGGAATGATTGTAAAGCGCTTGAGGATCAGAGATCTGAATTTGCGCGAATGGCAAACGTTCGTCCTCCAATCGTTGCGTTTTTGTTGCGACTACTAGTTAGCCTGAATTGTCACGAAGGCAAAGGCTCGTTTAATGGCGATTAGTGGCGATGTCTTGAACCATCGGCCGAACAAGGGGGAAGGTAACCACGGGGCAAGGGGGTGATTCGAGTGAGTAGTCACCCAATTTTGAAAGTTCAAAAAATCTAAATACAGACATTATGTCATTAATAAATAAAGCAAGAAATAATTAATAAATTATTTTAGTAAAYAAAAGAAGAAATAATTCTAAATGGAAATCATTCTGAAAACAACTAAACTGCTCAGTGAAGCACCGTTCATCTGAAAGAAAACCCTCATTTTCCGAAGCCAATATTCTATCTATTTGTTATTTTCATTCTGTCCTAGCACGTATTGTTTAAGGTATTGTCATAAATAGAGGATATTACACGGTTGCACGAGGATATGAATTTTATTTTCGAATAGTTACGAGTTAGGGCACCGAACGAGTAAAATGTTGTTTGTTTTTTTWAAAAAAAAGAAAATTCATATCTTCAAGCCAAAGTGTAATGTTCTTTTTATTATATGGACAAACCAAAGCGACAAGTAGAAATGAGCGGGAAAGTTGTTTTTATTTGACGCGCGCGTACATCCGGGACATTTTGGTACATAACTTTTTCATATCTTCACTAGTAAAAATATGGAAAATACAAGTGTTTTAGTTTCCGGTAAAAGACTATTAACCATATGATAAATATCCATATCTTGGATATGTTACTTTGAGGAATTTCAGCCACATATATAAGACCATATAAGACTTTTAGTATTAAAGTATTGTGGGTATCAGTAATATGAAGTATTACTACACTATAATTACAAAAATATCTCACAAGACGATTAGATTGATTTTTGATGGACAATTATTCTTGCAAGACTAGACCTCAGAGAACTGGCACAATTATCTGATTTTTAGAATGCTACAACAAACACCACAATTCCGTAAATCGTCGGCTGCTCGGACCTTGCTTGGAGACCATGCGCAGGTTTTGAACTTCTTTTGTATTTGATTATTTGAACAGCAATGAAAAAAGGCACAAAGAATATATGGTTGATTTAGCTCTACTCAAAACTCATTAGCGAGTAATGGGCAAAGTTTACGTGATCAGAACTAATATTGTCTTTGCGAACTGTCATCCCACAAAACGGACGGATTACTCTTTGAGGTTTTAAGGTGGTTCATAACGAGTCACTATACAAGATAACATCAGTTAAAACACCTTTATCAAGTAAAAATACATCCAATGTTTCACTGATCTGTTCATAATCAAAAATGTATCTTTATAAAAAGGTTACTTTCTAGAATTCCTCATTTCAAAGTTGGATGTTTAAAACAGTTACATTTTGTGTTAATTTTCTCTTTTTTATTGTTTTGAAAAGCCTTTCTAACTCGCCGTTGAAGTTTTTGCGTCATCACTAATGGATTTTGGTTGGTTTTATGTTTGTTTCATTGATTGAAAGATAAACATTTGAATACAAACTTATAGAATTGCTAGTAGGGTGCACCTTTGCATGGGTTTCAACACCTTGCACGTTGCGTAGATCGTAATAAAAGAGAATGACAAGTGTTATTCAACACACTTAGTACGAAAAGAAGACAATCTATAAACAAAGCAGACTTTAATGAAAAACGATTTTTTTTTCTAGCCTTTTTCTTTTTCTAAAGAGAAAAATACAGTGAAAATAGCTTCTGTTAAGACATCTTGGCTGCACAATTGTGGTCTCTGGTAACCTTAATAAACGATGGAAAGATCGCTTACTATGAATATCGGTTGGCATTAGATTCGGTCGAGTCAAGTGGAATTGTGGTCATTATTGGTAACGAACAAATCGATTTGAGTTTTTTCCTGTGTGTGACATATGGTGAATGGTTCTGTCATGATAAAAAAGGAGAAAATTTCCAAGAAAGTCAAATAAACCAGAAATGAAGAGAAAATCCCAAATAAGGATATAATGAGAGGTCTCAGTAATTATCGGTCATTTAATCATACAACAGACTGCTGTTCAACTATTACGCTATCAACTTTTATATCACTACTCTGTTTTTATTGCTTTAGGGGGGTCATTTCAATTATTATTTTAATATCAACCCTTTATTTTGTAAATTGGCTTTATTTTATTATCATATATCACATATCAAATGTTTTGCAGTTTTAATTTGCTAACTCTTCTCAGGGGTTTGCCACACTAAATTTCACGAAAAAAATCGAAATTACTTCAAAAAAAGATCGATGAATGATGTTTTAGGACAGCTTAATCATACAAGTAAGGTAACTATCTATACTTCGTTGCTTTGAAGGGATATTCTCGCACTTGGCAAATATATTGATCATTTCGTCAAACAATTTATATTTCGTCAGAATATGTAAACAGACCTAGCAAGAGAAGTCGAACGCAATTTGTTTGATCATTCATCAGAAATTGTCATCTCGCCAACCTTGATAAACAGACCAAGTACGAGACTTCAAAGTAATCACCWTCAGCCCACGACACTGCAATTATTTGTCCTATAAATAACCACAGKCAAGAAAAAAAGCGCTGTCTCCTCACAAACAAGTTAAGTATTTCACACACCTCTCTCCAACGTAATTCAATTGGTTACTATGACAACCTTTTCGTAGAAAACACTGCCTTAAACTAGTGCTCGAAGCTATCACTTAGCTCGCCAGAAATAGCAGTACCAACAGGGTCCAACAGGCTACTCCGTTAAGGTATGAAAGATCTTTAAACTTTATTTTATTAGAAAATGAATTTTCAGAGTATTAAACCACAATTCCCAGAATTTGTGCCACATCCATTTGGTATCCAATCTCTTATATTCAGTTTTTTTGGTGAAGATTTTCGTATTTCTATATTCAATTTTCATCGGGAATTTTTTYTAAATTTTAATCCTTAATACTTTTGGTTTTGAATGATAAATATTTCAATGTCAACAGTAGGAAAAATGATCAATGATAATAATTTAAAAAGTCATTCATCAAGGCCGCCATTTATCATTGAAGAGTCTTCAAAGGAAGGTCTTAATTGTTTTTACTGAAGTAAATCCTTCCGTATTCTGTAAGACCTTCAAGAAAATCTCCTTCATTTGATATTAAAGCTGCCATTGACATTAGCAGCAAGAAGCCGTCGTATATATTTTACAAAGAGTAATGCAGGTGTAGTTTTTTAATTCCTAGATGAGTGGCATGCTTTCGTACATATCAAAGCTAACTTATTTGCATTTCCGTGAGGTCTGTCAGAGCTTTCTCTTCGATCTACTAAACTTTAAAAAGGCACACGAACAGTGTGGCTAAGTAATCAAAATTTGACATAAAAAAACTCCAGACAAGTAAATGAAAAAATAAATTGAGTGGGAGGAACACAGTGGAAGAATATCGAAAGCTGGGCGAAAAGTTGTAATAGATGATAATGTAAATAATTGATGATTTTCAATTATACTCATGACGCTGTTGGGCTTTTATCGCTTCGTGTTTTTGGACTGGCTAACATATTTTTAGCACGGACAAAAGTTACCATTTTCCCCGAGGCCCCCTTACTTATTCAATATTCCACCTTTAAAAAAGCACCAATTGTCGCGATGGTCGCTGTATTTGAACAAGAAATGGATAGTGTCTATATCGAGCAGAATATGAGGATTTAAATACCGTTATTTTGGATTCATCCTATTGGTAGGATATTCTTAGCTGTTATCGTCGCGATCTCAATCAATATGTAATTTCCTTGTTTAGTTTTCGCGACCAAAACGACAATTTAAGTTGGCAAAATTGAACGTCAAAAACAAGATAGTATTTTCACACGCCTTAACRCAGACAGTAAAAAAAGTGAACACTTTCTCTAGATCATGTAACGATGCTAGATGCTTGCGCGCAAACAATCAAATAACATTTGTAATAACAATTGGTGGGTTACGATTGGTTGATTCGTTAAATTAAGAACAGCACGCATACCAAATGCCATTCTTTTTGATTATTTCATCAGTGGAATGAATTCTCGGTAAATGCATTTCAATTCGTGGTCAGTCCAGACATCGATTATAAATACATCCTTCACTGATTTATTGGGTTATTGAATGAAGTTGAAGAAAAGGAAAACAGAAATTAATTTACCATTTTCCACCACAAAACCCACTTAATTTCAACAAGTGAAAAAATTATGAAAACACAAAATTAGTTAAAAATTGTGGCCTATTTTATCATTGAATTCATCAAGAGTCACTTTCCTAGACAACCGAAATACGTCAGTAATAAACCACAAGGTTGAAATATTATAAAACGAGAGGAAATTTATTCTATTTTGAATTGAATGCTATTCTCATTAATGTCAGCAAGGAAAAGTGAATTCCATTCCACCACGGGGTCCCCCAGAGGTTATTTGGTGGCARAAGCGGCCAGGTGGTCGGTCAGAATCACGGTGTATATCGAGTGACTTTCCAAGTGTCGACTGCTCAACATAGAAGCAGAGTAGTAATCGCCAGAGCAAGGTTTCTTAAGGAAATAAGCGGGGAGTTTAAGGCGAGCATTCACGCCTATTTTGGACTTCATTTTGTAGATTGCCGTGGTCTGTATGCGCTTGGTCTGGAGCAAACATGGGCAAAAAACAGAGTAAACTCGATCCTCAGGTCATGAATGATCTTATGAGAAGAACAGATTTCGACGAGAAAGAGCTCAAGTCGTGGTATAAAGGTTTTCTGAAAGATTGTCCGAGTGGTTACCTAACAAAAGAACAGTTTATTGAAATGTACAATAAAGTATTCCGCCAAGGCGATGCAACCAAGCTGGCCGCGTGCGTGTTTCGACGGTTTGATGTCAATCGAGATGGCAAAATCGGTGAGTTTTTAGCGTTAGCTGTATTCATGTGTAGACGGACTTAAATATTTAATACAAACACGCCATAYAACACAACATATRTATTCTGGMTKTATTCGTAGTAAATGCGCCTTCTTTRAGTCCTAYACTGGGAGCTTGTTTGTGGGGATTGCCTCACTAATGCTAAAAAGAGTAACTAACTCCAATGTCGAACAAAATAGAATCGGGACAAATTGTCCTTGAAGCCTAACAAACCAGTAGTTTCCGGCCCATCACACCGATCATTTGGTTGACTATAGTTTTTCTKCCTAGTCGTTTCCTACATCTACATAACGAGACCAATTTCAGTCGAATCTCCATGATAAAAGTTGTTCTATTCATATTTGATTTTATCTTGAATCTTAAACAAAGGCGTTCAGCCCTATTCTCATTTTTGTTCAGTTCGGTGCATAACAAAGCCTAGAGTGTCGTGTTTTTATTTATAGTAWGACGCTTGTTCTTACTGTACTCGGATCATAAATCTTGATCTAATTTATAAACATACCGAACAATTCAAAAATCGTACAAAATCCTCTGATACATCACCCTATGTATGCTAAGCAGGTCAACAAAGATTTCGTTAGTTTTTCTTTTTAAGCGGTTTCGGTTCTTGTGTACATCTGGTATTCTGACATACTATGACATAAGAAATGAATCGTTTGAAATCAATAGGCGAAGACTGAGAGATCTTGGGCTTCGAGAAAAACCAATACATCTGGCTCGATTTTTGAAGCGATTGTTTTGAAAAAAAAGTACTTTGATCGAGTGTAATGTTTAATTTGTCGTCCAAAGCGAAGATAAATTTTTTATGAATATATTGAAGTGCGATTACGCTCGAGCCCTTTTAACGCAATATGACTACAAAATGGATTGACTTTTGCTCGTTGAAATAAAAAAAAGAAAACAAAAAAATATCATTAACATTTATACCTTGAGATTTATTGTCCTGAACAAAAACATTACATGACGTACATGAACAAGAAAAAATGAAAAAAATTCAATGTTCGAACACTTTTTTCACTAAATGTCGCTCACGGAAATACACGCGTCTAGGTACATTACGATTTTAATCAAAAAAGCCTATTTTGGTTAAACTTCAATATGTAAAAAAACCATGAGACAGATCACCATAATTTTAATACCCGAATAAGATAGTAACTTATGCATTGGGGGGCGTCTGTCGGAAAAGATCATKTGCACACGACAAAAAAGAATAAAAGGCACAAATAAGAAGAAAACATATTAGAGCTTATTTGAAAGGCTTTGAGTTTGGAGCGAAGCAAATTCGAACGAGGATCTATTTTAATCAAAAATGACAAAATTAACCATAAAACAACATCTGGCACGCATTCCGCACACAGTTTTTGCATAAATGACTTGGTGAATCAACTTTACGGCGTCAACAATAAATATATTCATACAACTCAAGGCAACGGACATTTTTAATTAAACACACAACAGCGGYCATCCAATCAAAATGTTACAGTTGAAATTGTAGTAATAGCTTAACTAAAAATCTTCTTTATACTTGAACATTAGGGGAGCACCGTTGATTGTCTAAGTCGAATGCTAAATGATTACTTTTTCCCGTGATACAAGGATATAACTGTGATCCGCAACATGGGATTTCATAAAAAAAATATAACTTTTCTTCAAAGCAAAACAGTCCCCTGAGGGTGTGGGTAGGAAATGTTGTGAGATATAGGGCAGAGTTAGGGTAAACAACGGTGTATTCTTATTGGCTAATATCAAAGTGGCCGTCTTCTTTTGAAAATGACACCATACTTACTATAGAGACCACTTAAGTGTATTAGACAAATATGTTTATTTGATTATTACGCTTTTATCAACGGTAGAAGCTTATGTGTAATAATCATATAGCTAACATGTGACAAACGTTCTAAAGCCCGTTGTATTTCTATGAAATCCCGATAAAGGCTGTAATTGGCTTTGGCCGTCTTTCAATAATGTTTGACTCGGTAAGGAAAACAGGAAATGCATGAGAAACTTCATTGTCTCTGCTTAAGTGCCTTTGCTAGACAGCTTCGTTCAATTGATCTCCTTCGCACACATCGGCTACCTAGTGAACCTACATAATCGTTGCATAATGAAGTAACGTTTTAGAATCTGTTTTTGTTGTGGGTTGCATTGGTTGCCTGTTCGTCATGTCTTCGTGATATAATCTTAGTATGGCTCGTAATGTTTTCATATATAGGTTTTTGGAGCAAAATTAAAATTTACTCAATAAGATCTTCAATAAAAATATTTTAGTTATTTGTTTGTACTCACAAATTTTACATGGATATTCTCATTTGCGAATTTCTAAAACAAAACAACAAATGAATGAAAATATAAAAAAACTTATTCCTAGTAAAATACAAGTATACAAATATAGAGCCCATAAAATATGATTCAACGTGTCAAAAATCTGCATAAATGCTAATTATCCTG